TAGGTGTAAAAACAACAAGAGAAAAAAAAAACACTTACACAGTGGTGTGTACAAACTTAAATGTGGCGACTGCCAAAAAACTTACATCGGTCAAACTGTTATATATTTTAATAAACGAATAGCAGAACATAAAAGGGCTTTCAATAATAGAAAAACAGATTCTACATAGGCATTTCACCTTCTAGATCATAATCATTCTTTTAGACGAAATTAAAATTCTTCATATTCAAAATAAAGGCCTTAAGCTATCTTTGTTAGAATCTATGGAAATCAAAAAACACAGATATAATTCTGAATGACCAACTTGAGACAAACAGTTTTCTCCTCCTCATCCTATTTCATTAAAGACTATAAAAGTGTAAATGCGTGCCAAAAATAGATCACTTGAGAAAAGCAATCAGCCGAAACAGATGAATAAAGTGATAAGATTAAAACAACCGAGTGATAAGATTATATAAAATTTATTATATAATCTGTGTTAAGTGTTTTCTTGTAACACTGAAAACTTGTAAGTACAAATTTTCAGTGTTTCATTGTTACACATTAATTTTTTTTATTTTAGAATGCATTTTTATAAGTACGCGTCAAGAATAATGAAATCAATATCAGCGATGACAAAATAAATATACTGGCACGTAAAAAAAAGAAGACGACAAGGAATTAAACGATACTGAGAATAAGAGAATGAAGAGAAGTTAAAAAATATCATACATAGGCCACAAACTGAAAAATAATAAGTACCAATAGGCCCAACTAATAGTGGAAGGAAAGATTGAGGGAAAGAGCGCATTAGAAAGGAAAAGATTAATGTGGCTAAGAAACATGACGTAAAAAAGTCAAACGTAGTGAGAAACTTGTAAAACCGTTTATTTATTCCATATTGCTATACGGAGTGCAAACATGGACTCTCGGAATTACAAGTATGAGGCGTATAGAAGCCTTTGAGATGTGGATTTTTCGAAGGATGATGAAGATCTCTTGGACAGAGCACGTGACCAACAACGAGGTGCTAAGAAGAATGGGTATCGAGAGAGAACTCCTAAATATTGTAAAAAAAAAGAAAAACTAGTTATCTAGGACATATTTACACAGGAGAAAAATACATCTTCCTACGACTTATAATGGAAGGGAAAGTAAAAGGAAGAAGAGGTCCAGGAAGAAGAAAATGCTCCTGGTGGAAGAATGTAAGAGACTGGCCAGGTATGGACACACATTCGATATTGAGCAGCTCAAGATAGAGAGCAATTTGCTGTAGTTATAGCCAACCTTCAGTAATGGAGAAGGAACTTTAAGAAGAAGTGTCCTCTGAGGACACTCTGACCACTGACTCCTCCACCTCTGAGGAGTGCCCTCTGAGGAGAGGGCACTCACAGGAGAGTGTTATCATATGCCTTTTGAAGATCAATAAATACCATGTGTGTCTCCATATTGTATTGCAACTTCTTTTATAATGTCTGTTTTAGACGGAACACACTGTCTATACAAGAATGACCAGTACCAAAGCCAGTCTAATTCTGTCTTTCCGTACATTCTACAGATAAGTTGGTTACACTAAGTCGTCGGTAATTCTTACAATTACAATAAAGTAATGGTATAAGAGAAGAGCTGACATAGTTTGCCAGGGCAATATTTAATCCGTTCTATGGGTCTTCGACACGATCCTGGAACCTTCCCATTTTTCATAAGATTGGCGTATTTTTAAAATTCTTCTGGTGTTATTTTTCAGTTTCTTCGTGATAGAAAATATCATATTTTATCATAACGATTTTTAACATTATCGCAGGCTGTATTCCATAACTCATTTTTGGCTTTATTTAACTCTTTTTTATTTCTTTGTTTAAACTGTTGTACTGTTGCCGATTATAAAGATCCTTTATTGCTAGCCATTTATTATACATATTTATATTCTTTTTTCCCACAAGATCTTCTATTTCTTTATTCCACCATTCATTTCGAATCTGTATACTATGCACTTCTCCAATAGCTTATATTGCAGCTTCGTCAAGAGCTTTCATGATTTCGTTAAAAGCGTTCATTTGGTGAGGAGTAACAAACATTGTGTAATTTCAAATTTAAGTTCATTTGATACAGAAACTGGGTAGACTTATTTTGAAAACCTTGTACATTATGTCTTTTTGTTGAAATGTCTTGCAGTACCTGTTGCATAACAACAATACTTAATATATTTAGTCAATTTTTGTATCATATTATTTAGTTTATTTTTGTATCATACTGTATATTAGTTTAGATATATAAAATTTCTTTGTACTAACTAACAATCTGTAAAGCGCTGTTATCTTGCATTTAAATAACTTTCTACACAAGTTTATAAAACCTTCATAGAATCGTAACAATGAAAGGATTAGTATTTTTCAAATTACCCTCTGACGCATTCCAAAATTCCGCAAGTTGAGACAAATACCCTTATCAGGTAGTTTTTATCAATGATTTGAAAGTTAAAGGTATTTGAAAAATAAACATATCTTTTAAATACGTCGAGAGGTCAGGGGGGAGATTTCGGAATGTTTGTGATTGAGGGGAGAGAGTGGACATCAGTTCGCAGTTCAAATCCATCAAATCAGTATCAGTTCAAATTCCAGCACTGAAGGAGCGTCAGGCTCTACTCGCCCCAGCGGCATATTAGTGTTTTAAACCAGTCGGTATATTAATAAGTTCGTGTCAATATTGTATCACCGATAAGTGTGTATCATATGCAAGTTATTGGCGTTTAAAATACATTGTATTTGTTTTAAATATATTTGTTCAAACGTTCTTTTCGAATCTTCATTTTTTCCCAGTTTTCTGGGTGGTCCTTCAAAGAAATATATATATGAAGTGAACCTATTTCCCTAAGGAAAAACCTTGTTCCCCAAGGGAAAAAACCAGCGACCTATTACTGGTGCGTGAAACAAAGCCATCAGGACAAAGGTGTAAGGACAAACACCTACATCTTCGCTCAGTACCATTGAACTTTCATTTTTATTTTGGCGTTGGCTTCCTTATGTAAATAGTAGTGACGCTTTCAGCAAATGGTGAGTAAATTTACACTCTCGTCCTCGATGGATTTTAAGGTTATTAACCTTATTGTGGAGTTTTCCTTGCGTATATAGTAATCGTCTATTCATATCAAAGTTCTCTTTGGTTGGATCCACGTAAATTTATGAATATCCTTTTGCTGATAGTATCCATTCACTATCTTTAAATTTGTATGATGGCAGAAACTAATTAATCTTTCATCGTTTTAATTTATTTTTTCTTCTCTGAATGTACTGACCACTTTGCTATTCACTTTTCTTACGTTTCTAGCATTTGTCAACAGCAGTCAAATAAAGATTGATATATTGTACAACATGAAAAATCTACAAGAAAAGTACTCAAAGCTTTTAAACCCATATTTTTTCCCAACTCTTAATAGATAACAAGATCTAAACATAAATACAATTTTAACGATCTCTGTTATTATAGGTCAAACTTTTACTGGTAATGGAGATAAATAATAAAATTTTTGGCAAAGTTTCAATAGCCGTTCAAATTTTTCTACGGCAATGCTCCAAACCCATCTTTAATTTTAGAAAGATTAAATATAGAACTCAGTAAAGGATATATAGTCTGGACGAAATACAAGATAAATTATCTTGCCGTAATGTTAAAACAGAAATATATATTTTCACAATATATGACAAACTTGACTGCGATCGCCTGCTTTATTTTTTTATGTATAGTAAGAAGATTAAACTATATCTGCGTTGTCTTCTGGACCATCTATTTTTGTCACAGTGTCCATTTTATCATTTATTACAGAAAACTGCAATATCTGGGACATGTCATAAGGGGCGAGCGTTATAACTTGTTGCAATTAATAATGCAAGGAAAACCACAGGGTAGAAGGAGTCGCGGAAGAAGACGCATCTCCTGCTTAAACAATTTGAGAGCTTGGTTTAACTGCACTTCTGCTGATTACTTTTGAGCAGCGGTATCGAAAGTGCGAATTGCCATGATGGTTGCCAACCTTCTTAGAGGAGATGACACATGACGAAGTCTACTTTATTTCCACGACTTCTGAAATTGAGACGAAATTCTGCCAAGCACAGTCTCCCAGAGTTCGCCAGCTATTTGGGAATTTACTTAGGCAATACTTATTCCCTTGTAACAAGTAACAGTTGGCACGATTGTGTCATATTTCGGGATTTGGGAGAGCAGTATTCACAGAACAATTCAAAGCATGATGTAGGTGTCTATGTGTGTATGAGTATTTTGTATTAGAGCAAAATTCTGCCAGGTACAGTCCCCTAGAGTTCGCCAATTCTTTGGCGCTTTGCTTAGGCAACACTTGTTCCTCTGTAACAAGCAACAATTGGGCACAATTGTGTTATATCTTGGGATTTGGGACAGCAATATTCACCGAACAAGTTCTACTGCATGTCTGATGATTTATCGATTAAGCATGCTGTAAGTGTTTATGTGTTATTTGGTTACACCCTATTTAGACTTGTCCTATTGTCCTATATAATCCTAGGGCGCCCCCTATTAGCCATCGGCACTCAGTTTAGATCAGTTTTAGACTAGAACGGAGACCACAGACATAATTGGACACGTCTTAGGAACATACAACATAAATAACTGCATATGCAAAACAACACAAAATAGGATCAACTTTAAGAAATACAAAGTATATCTTTTTATTTAGAAATTCAGGTGTGTATAGTATATACTAACAAAATTTTAATCAAAAATACATGGGACAAACTAACCGGCGAATCTATGTCAGAATTTCTGTTCGTAAGTCTTGTGACGAAAACAAACTACCGTTATAATTATTCATATAATTCATATATAAACATTCAGCTCAAATAAAATTCACAGAAACTATATCAGTGTGCGGTAATGGACCGACCAGTCCTGCGAGGATATCAGAAAGTCATTTGACGACACAAATGTGATGTTCGGTGCGGAAAAGCACTCACTCGACGACCTGTGATTAAAATCCAGGTAAGCTTTTCTTAGTGGCGTTCCCATGAAACCTCCAGCCTGGTATCTTCCGAAACACATCCACTGGTTTGAACTGCAACTGGATGATATGGGCAATACTGAACCAAATTAGATCGAGCGCGGACATTGTGAAGACCAACACCAGGGCAATAAACTCCGCCCGAACGCTAAAATAATCACGCTTGTACACAAAAAAGTAAATTAGGTAAGCGCAAATGGGACTAGATTTCATAATGGGACAAAGAATAAGATATATTTCAATATAAAAGATAAAAGAATATTATCCAAGGAATAATTTTACACAAATTTACAATTGGTAGTAACCATAGAATGATTCAAGCAAAGGTAACAATGAATGTAAAAAAATAACGAACATAGATCCTGTTAAATTACCAAAACATACCTGAAAACCTGGCTCTATTTCAAACCGAAGCTGAAAAAAATTTCACGAGGTGTTATGTTATTACAATTTTTCTAAGACACTTATTAATATTCAGCTCAGCGTGGTTCTATTGTTCAAGTTGTGAAATTGCATATACAAGGGATCTACCTGGGTTTTATGGAGTGATCTCTTGTTACTATATACACATCTACATATATCAGATAAATATATGTACTCAGTTGTTTTTTTGTCACTTAATATAAAACCAAATCCATGAGAATCAATGCAAAAAAATAACATACTGTTACGATAATAAATATTATGGCGTATAAAAACCGTAAACATATTTATTCATTCACGAATTTTATAGGTCAAATACTACCGAATTCTCCAGAAGGGTCGAATATCAAATTCAGGTACCAAGAATGCAGCCGGCGGCGGAGCGACCCTCCGAATTTACCAGAAGGCGATCGACTTTTCTAGTCTAGCTAAATTAGTCACCTAATGGATGGAAGGTCATCGATGCATCGCCAGACCCTTCTAGATAACGGCATATTATATATAAATAACAGGATTTTTACTGTGGAGTCAGTAAAAAAGAAGTCCGGGCTCGCGTTAAAATTGTATCGCACGTATATACTTATTAAGTGTAAAATAAATTACTAGTAATAAAGACTTTTTTAAATTTGTGAGTGTTATAAATATTGAACCTTTAGTAAATTACAACAAGAACAATAAATTAGAATTAATAAAAACATTATAATACTATTTACTATTAACAATTAGCAGATTCATATCATAATACGAAAAGCACAACAAGCATTCAGCATGTTCAACCTTGTTTTGAGGTCTGGCCAGTATACCACAGATACAAAGATCCGGATATTACAGTCGAATGTCAAGTCTGTTCTACTTTACTCGACAAAAACACTTGTAGACAAACTGTAGAGGTCTTTGTTAACCAATGCTTACGAAGAATTGTTTGTATTTTTGGCCTAAAACCACCAGAAACGAAGATCTGCTACACCTGACCGAACAGAAGAAGATAGAAAATGAAATAAAGTCTAGAAAGTGGGTTAGATCTACAGCAGACTTCGTAAACATAATTCCAGTATTGCAAAAACTGCCCTAGAGTGGACTCTTCATGGAAAAAAAACACCCACCACAAACTCAGAGAATTCAGTTAAGGACGAGATAAGAGGTCAAGGAAAGTCTTAGAACGAAGTGAAGGCCTTAGCGTCAAATAAGACTCGATAGCGCGTTTTTACCAAAGCTCTTTGAAGTCCACTTAGAGTTCAAGAACCTCATTTATATTTTTGAAAGAAGGCAGTGACAAATAGATAGGCGAAAGTAGCCTGGAAGATGCCATAGGGATATTTGCTTCGTCATACTTTATTGAAGAGGTTTAGTATATAAATCCACATACATCATCTGTGCATTTAATATTAGTTAAATAAGCATATATCAATAGAGAACATAACATTTTTCCTTACATACATACAAGATATGCAGCTCAAAAAAGATGGAATGAAGCAAAAGTTGTATGAACCATACAGCTTAAAACTTTTTATAAGAAAAAAAAAGTCAGTTTTATATGTTAAGAAATTCAAAGAAAAGAAGTGTAAAAAATTGAGTATACAGGCAGAATACTTTCTAACATAAAGGTCAAACACAATTTCAAAAGTACTGATAGCGTTTAATGATTAAACATTAATAAGTTTTAGCACCATTAGGTAGCATTATTTGACCATGGTGATTCAATTGAAGTAAACGAGAGTTAAATTTCATATTACCAATACAATTGAAGAGAAAGCTGGAGAAACAACTAAACCGAAAAAACTGCCGCTGCTGCCAAACGATCTGCTACCGGTGGAAAGGCAAAATCTATAGAGAAAGTCTAAAGCTAAAAAAGTTGCATCCAAGACAGACAAAAGCCGGCCAAGGCGAAAAAAGTTCGGAAAGAAGAAAGGAAGAAGTCAGCATCTAAAAGTGCGTCAACTTCTTCGCCGCTTCATCAGTTTCGCAGAGGCCAAAGTCAAAACATGAATCAAAGCGAAGAAATCAAATAAAGACAGTCAGTCCTACGAAAAAACCAATGACATCTAAGCCAAAGACAGCTAAGCCTGTCGCAATTTCACCAAAAGCTAGAAAATATGCTGCTCCTAAGAAGAAGCTATTGCACTAATTAATATATTCGAATTACTAAAAACAAATTACACATATACAAACGCATAAAGCCCATACAAATAATGCAGAAACACACAGAATTTTAAGTTTCATAAGTCAAAAAATTCACCTTCACATCTTTTCAGCTAAAGAATGGCTGTTTCCTATAACACCGCGGTCAAGTAAGTCAACTTACAATTATGAAAAGAGATGACCTCTATAATAACTTTTGGCGGTTGGACACCCGTTTTAACAAAATTCTTAAATAATCTATTTAGGAAAGCGATTTTTGGAGTGGAAATTGAAACGTCAAGTTTTTAGTTAAAAATGTAATTTTCATTACAATAAATTATGGCTTATTTCCATACAAACACAATTAATAAACTTAGACATGCCACACGAAAACAGTTTCAGAACCTTATGGAAGAAGGGTATACCAGACTATTATACAAAGTATTGCCACATATGATTTCGAAGTTTGACCAGTAAAAATAAAAATAGAAAAAACACTTCTAATCTTGAAAATGGATGATGATTCTGAAGGAGGTCAGCTGAAAAGTCACGTCGAAAAAGAATTACCAATGAGTATATCCGCAGATTTATGAACAGTAAAAACACAATTATTGATCAAATAAAATACAAACCACTGAAGTGGTATGGTCACGTTCAGAAAGTGAGAAAATATTGCTTACCAAATCACTTACTAGACTGGATACACAGTGAAAACGTAGAAGACGAAGCGATGAATAAGTTGGAGAGAGGGTACCGACGGTGAAATCGCAGAAAGGACAGGATCTCTCCAACAGCCTCGTATATACTATATTGATATATAACAGTAATAGTTAGTGCTATAGGAATTTACTAAATATTGAAAATGAGACAGAGGAAGCATATATTACGTTTCATTCTGCAGATATCGAAATACCAGCACAAACACTTGAGGAAGTAAAGAATGGGATCGCGTTTCTAAAAGACCATAGAGCACCAGGAAATGATGGCATAAATGGAGAGTTGTTAAAAAGGAGGAAACCTTTTACACCAAAAATTGTAGGACATCATTCTGAGAGCATGGCAACAACAGAAAATGCCTAGAGAATGGAATGGAGGCGTTATAATTCCCATATATAAGAAAGGAAAGAAAAATTCCGAAACTATAGAGGCATATCGCTTATTAGCACATCATATAAAGTGCTATCAATTATCTTGCTAAAGAGACTCACACCATATTCGGAAGATATTCTAGGCAACTACCAATGCGGCTTTCGTACCAGAAGGTCAACTATAGATCAGATATTTACCATCCCACAAATATTAAGAAAAACTAGGATTTCAACCGCTATGTGCACCAAAATTTCATAGATTTCTAGCAACCATATGATTCCATAAAAGAAGCAAATTGTGGATAGCAATGTTAGAAATGCAAATACCAAGAAAATTAGTTGAATTAACGCAAATGTGCGTGATAGACTAATATGCGCAAATAAAGATAGGAAGCAGAACATCGATGCCATTTGGTATAAAATCAGGACTCAGGCAGGGGGTCCCCTTGTCACCGTTGCTGTTCAATTTTGCTTTACAATATGCAATAAGTAAAATATCGTCTGAGCTGATAGGAGGATTTGCTGATCAACGATCAAAACTGTTGCTGGCCTTTGCTGATGATATAGATGCAGTAACGCATTCTACAAGAGACGTGAGAGAGGTGTTTTCACAGCTCGAGGAGCAAACAGGTAGTCTGGGTCTCCGAGTAAATGAAGAAAAGACGAAATACATGGTAGTAACCAAAAATCCAAGACCAAGAGTTAGGCAGAGCATCAGTATTAATGATCACAACTTCGAAGTAGTAAAGGAGTTTAAATATCTGGGAGCTATAATCACAGCAGACACACATATAAAAAAAGTGGTCTCAGCCAGGATAGCTGTGGGAAGTAGAGCATTATACTCCCTTTCAACATTATTACGATCGAAGTCGATTATTCGCCCAATTATTACATATGGCAGTGAAACAAGGATTCTCAACCAGCGGGAAATCAATAAGCTTCTAGTATTTGAGAGAAAAGTTCTCAGAATAATATTTAGCCCTCAAAGAGATAAAATCACGGGGGATTGGAAAAGACGCCGCAATGCTGAATTGGTGACTCTGTATGGAACTGAAAACACAGTTAGACATATCAAGGGAAACCGAATAAGATCGGCAGGTTACGTGGTACGATCAGAAGATGACAGAGTGTTAAAGACAGTGTTTTTGAAAGACCAGATGGTAGCAGATCAGTAGACCGACCGAGAAAAAGATGGAAGGATGATGTTGAAGCCGAATTATCTAGAATTGGGGTACAACAATCGGAAATAGAAGCTCAAGCTCGTAGAGAATGGGCGATAGGGGATGCGGCGAAGACTCACACCGAATTGTAAAGCCAGTAAAGAAGAAAAATAGTTAGTGCAACCAAATTTCATTATTACACATTTCTACCACAAAAAATACGTAATGTGAATTCGTAAACAGGAATTATAATATGTTTTTCCATCTCTCTGACCTAGTTCCTGGACTGTAATGAATAAGAATAGACTGAAAATACGAGAAACGAAAAGAATGTTTGGATTGTTTCTCTTCTAAGATTT